AAATGTACCGAATGTTTTCCAGTCAGTGATTTGAGTCAGTGTAAGGGGGCCTGCACAGTGCCATGTGAGCTATGGTCAATACTCGCGTATTAGGGACGATGAGAGGGAATGCCGTGTGATGACGGAAGGGCGCAAAAAGCCCCACGCGATAGGAGCCACCCAAAGGCGAGACCGCTTCGTCTAAGACGAAGCCATGACTGTTTTGGCTGAACCCCAAAAAGCGATACCTTTTTTACATCCAAGGCCAAAACCACCAAAAGCGATAGGACCCCCCAAAGTTCTTCACAGCATCTAGAATACAAGGAGTTTCGGCAAACGCTCATGTGAATTGTAGACTGCTGCTTGAGCCTCGACCGAGTTGAGTTTGTTGCCTCGACTGCTCTGCACTGAGATCAGCACAAGAAATTCATGGTCTGGGGCATGGCCCCATAGGCTGATCCGGAAGGGGGCAGTGGCAAGCCTTAGCATGAACACTGCAGGTTTGCATCCTCCGGATCAGCGCTTTGCACACTCTAATCTTTTTGCGCCCCACAAGCTTTTCCAAATATGGTCGTGCTCTGTATTCTGCGCCCCCAACCCCGCCCTCTTGGTAACCCCCTTGCAGGTGGCGGGGCTGGTTCTCTCTCGCTGCTCAAACAGCCTTTGTGGACAAGTCGCAAATCTCTACAGAATATAATCTGCAGATTTTCCCTGAGCACAAGAAGTCTCTCTGATTCCTCCTCCTGAAGTCCTTGTATTGTCCAGGATTCCTTCTACAATTGTTCAATGCCTTTAATTCTTTACGCATCCTGTTACAACTCCTTCCTGGATAACTCCTAAGAAAACACGTCATAGGTATTTCTATGCTTCTTTAGGTCAGTCTTCCGTTTCTCCTCAAGACCTAGCCCAACCACACTACACCACACCACAGGGGGGAGGGGCGTGAGGGCCCGCCAGCAGGCACAGGTAGTCCGACGACCCAAAAGCCGGCCAAACTTAAGAGTGGACCAACCCGGTTCATGGCATCACCGAGGTGTGAGCGTCCCAAGTCATGTGCTCCAAAAGCACAAGCACGCAACATGCAGGCAGCAATGCGCGCTGCGGGGGAGCAGGGTCCACAGGCCAGTCGTTCCCGAGGACTTGCGAGCATAATGTGCAGGAGTCGCTCCGCTGCATGGGATACCAGCTGATCAATGGTAGTTCTCAGGTTGAAGGTTCGGGTTTCAAGTTTCCAGGACCTGACTACGTACAAGCGTGTGCCGCCTTGTAGGAAAAACCTTTTTGCTTCACAGCTCGAAACGCAGCCAATGTAAAGCAGTAGGACTCCGTTAGTGACTGAGCCGCCTTACATGAAAGGATAAGCAATGCGCAGGTAGAGTTGCAAGATGAGCACACACCCAAGTCCTCTGAATCTTGCATCAATCCCCAAACCCACGCATTCATACCCTGGAGAGCCAGGCGGACCTGGCCCTACCTCCTGAGGCCTGCATCGTAAGGAGGGTGTTCAGGGGGCAAGTCTGTTCTGGGGTCCATTTCTGTTTGGCTGGAGGCTTTTCGGCTTGCGCGTAAGCTTAAGTTGCGGGCGCTGCCGCTTTGTTTCAGCAGAGCCTGCAAGACTTGATTGATCTTGGTTGCTGTCGAGTCTTGGGTGTCAGCGAGAGTTGCTTGTAGAGTTCCAGCCCAGGTACATTAGTGATGCAGGACGCGGCTGCCTGAGCTTCGTACATATTACATCAATTCCAGCCAGGATCGAAGCAAAGTGGTCTTCCTGGATGTGGATGGCGTGCTTCGGCCAGCTCGCGCAGGAGCTTTCTGTTGGACCCTGACTTTGTGCCTGTCAGTCCGTTTGCGCGACACGGTTGGATTAAAGCACCTCCTTAGCAAGGTGTCGTGCGTCTCTATTGTGTAGCGAAATTGTACATGTACAAAATCGTGATCTCTGAGACTGGTCGGGTGCCCAAGGTGTTTCTGATCAGCAGCTTTGCACCGGGTTCTCGGTCTAATGTCTCAGGGCTCGAGGCTCCGACAGATGGTACGCATTTTGTCTGATTTTGCGACTTGCAGGTTATGAGTGTAGAGCCCCTTCTTACGGATCAAGAGCCGCAGGCACTTTTGACATCTCGACGGATGGTGAGGCAGTTGCCTGGCCCAATTTGGGTTGCCTGAAGAACTGGCAGGAGGGCTAGGGGAAAACAGAGCACCCTTCATCTCTGAGTTAAGAGAAGAAGCTGGCTTTGCTTGTGATGATGGCATTGGTTGCAAGGCCTGCAACATATTTGAATTGTGATTGCTTGAGCTTGTGTGGCACCTCAGGTCTGGAGGTTGGCTTAGGTAGTGCTTAGGTCAGCCATCAAGGCCAGAGTGCTCCCTCCCTCCTGTACCAAGGCCAAGCCCGACACTTCCGACTTTTTCCCTGCAGCGTTGAAGGCGCATTTGGATGTTGCAAAAAGAACCGGTTTTTCGTTTGTCGACTTGCTTCATGAACTGCAGGAAGGCATCGTACATTGTTTTATTGGGCAGCTTCCAGAAAACATCTCCCGTTCAAGGTTGCAAAGGTGCAAGGCATGTAGTGCAACGGTCTGCGTGTGTATATATATATATAGATATATGGGAGTGTTCACAGGGATAGACATGAATTTGGGTCACAACTGTTGAAAGTTTCTCTTGCAGGCTCTTCGCCACATAATGGCAGCAACCTCAGCTCTGGCATCTCAGTCATGGCGCAACAGGAAGCTGTGACAGCGTTGCCCTGAAAAGCGGGCTCCAGAGTTTCAGAAGGCTTTGCGCTATCGCCTTTAAGCCCTCCCTGCAGTGTAGCTCCACTGAAACGGTATCGTATCAGCGATTTGGTAGCGGGGAAGTTGGATGACGACTTCACCTTCCCGGCATGAAGTCCGTTGCATATGTATTGTTGTAGTCGGTCTGATGTTGAATTCGTGTATGCCGGTAAATTAGAAAGAGACCCGCCCTTACCCCCAAATGTTTGTTTTGAAGCAAAGCGGTCCCAAATTGGCTTAATTCGAGGTTCTGAAAGGATCAGCGCATGTGAGCCTTTAGGTTGAGAGTTCGCTTGCCTGCGCATTTAACATGTTAACGTGCCTCCGCTACCAACATCCTGTAAGGAGCGTAGCAGCGCCAAAGTGGTCTTGTGCTCCGAGTGGCGTCGGAACGAGGCCGGAAGCCCCTTCCACAATGACATTTGACAAAGTACGCAACGAGTAGGGACATGACATGGTGAGTGGCACCACACGACTGTCTGCTTCTTTGCAAGCCTAACTTTGGTGCATGCGCCAGATCCTCCTCAAAGCCTTGGAGGATATCTTCAACAAGAACAGGCCAGGAGATCCTAACTTGTCAGTCATAGTTCTAGATGCGATTGTGTCCAAGCGGTTGGGAGGTAAGCGTTTGCAGAAGCCCTTGCTGCAATCTGTCCATGCGAAGGTTACGACTGTGGAGCGATATCACCACCCAGGAGTTCAAGCTGGAGAAAGGCTGTCTTTGGGTGGGATCTTCACAAGTGATACAAGTGTTTCATGAAGTTGCTTGAAATCGCACAGTACCTACTGTAGAAGACCGAACCTGCTTTTCTTGCAACAGAGGAGCACATACTGCACTTTTCTTCACTTTCTAAACCATATCTTCTGTCGCCACCTGCCCAGGCATAAAGCAAACACTACAGCGCACAAAATCCTGTGCGTTGAGATCGTGTCAATCCCCCCCGGTGAACGCTTCCACGGTGAGTTTGACATAACTGTTATTGCGTGGACACTCTGGGGAGCAATCGTTGAAAGCTAGAGGCGCGTCAGGTTCTCAGCGCCTAAAGGTCTTGGACTTAATTATCGTTATTTACGCGTGTCCTTGTCACAGTCTGCAAGCCTCAGCCCATCCTTCTGAGTCAGACTCATCACGTTGAACAACGTTATCTCGCCCACACCCTTGCTCCCTCAAACTGCAAGTTCAGACTTGAAGCCGCAGGCGGTGACGCCCTGCGCTGCTTCGCAGATCGGCGGCCGAAGCCTCTAGTCACTTACGTTCCTTGTCACATGTCCATCAACAGCTTCTGTGTCTCAGCATGCATTCACAGTCTAAAGTGGATTATCGTAGGCCTGAGAGTGTCCCAGAGCACGATGCAGGGACTACAGAGGACAGGTTGTAATTCATGGGGGCAGAGTTGATCTTCCTGTCCGGCTTGCTCGACCTGGCAAATGCATCAGTTCGAATGCTTCAAGAGAGCTTCAAGCAGTGTGGGCTCAGCGCTGCAGACGACGAAGGTTTCCTGAGCAGACCCGTAAGCACCATGCTAATGTGAATCAGCTTGAAGCGCCGAAGCCTGGACTCCTGCAAGCCTGCCCCAGTGCACAAACCCTGAGGGTCCAAGCTTGATTCTTTTAGTTCCAATCCCCCTTCTAAGGCCTGCTTGGATTGAAGCTTGCAGGACATGAGTAGGTTTTTGGATGTAGTGGTGATATTGCAGTCGTGTACGAGATGGTAAGCTCGCGGGTGCTTGCGAATCTGCGGGATCTTAGCATCTAAGTTTTGCGCTCGTATTGCTTGCAACGGGCCACTGGGATTGACAAACCCGGGACAGAACCATCATGCACCAGAAGATGTTTGCCATAGCTCTGGCACGTTACGAAGCACGTGTTTGGCCCAGGTCCAAGGAGATCAGTGCCTGGCTCCGTAAACACGAGGCCAAGATATTTTTTCGCCATGACCTGTCAACAGGTTGATCGTATGGCTGGCACAATGGTTAGTTGGCTGTTCATTGCGATGGCTAGAAGCACCCCGCTATCCCAAGCACTTGGAGAATCATCAGCGTTCCAGGTACCTGTGTCTGGGGGCTCAGAGGGGCTGTCATGATGAGGGTATAAGCTGTTGCTCAAGCACGCCCCTGCCTGAGACCAGGGGCAAAGCCTCCCTCTTTTGTTTGCCAGCTCTTGCAACTGGAAGTGGGCCTGCCAATGGAGGAGATCATTGTTGCCTTGGATTGGACACCAAACACAAACCATAACGGATTCTACATGGCACAGAAGGCGGGCCTTTATGCCGCAGCAGGCCTAACAGTTTCCCTGCGCTCTGCAGATGCTGGAGACGGAACCACACCAGCAAGGCAGGTTGCGCAGAGACTTGCGCACTTTGCAGTGGCTCCTTCGGAGAGCGCCGTGTCATTTGCCACCACTGAACCTGACAAGCCTCGGCTGGTTGCCGTTGCGGCATTGCTACAAGGAAGCGCCTCGGCCATTTGCACGCTGAAAAGCTCAGGTATAGACCGCCCTGCCAAGCTCGCCGGGAAAAGGTATGCTTCATACAATGGCCGCTTTGAAGACCCTATCGTGTCCCAGATGGTCAGCAATGACGGCGGTGACGGCAAGTGCGTGCAATTTCATGGCTTGGACGCGCACGCCTACCAGGATGGTGACACCATGGGTGCAGGCTCAGTTGTTGCATCCTACCTCGAGAAGGGTAAATCAGACTCCACTTGGATCTTCCCGGCGTGGGAAGGTATCCTGGCAGAGCGTGCAGGGCAGCAACTGCACTGTTTTGCCCTCGAAGATTATGGCATCCCCTATGGTTACTCCCCAGTTCTGTGCCCAGGTCTCGTTTGAAGCGTTTGTTTGAACTTTGCAAAGCCTGCGCATCCCCGTGGTTTTAGTGGGTTGTCCTGCTGCTCCGTTCAGGCTTGCTCATCCTGACGACCTGGTAGAGCCCAGAGCCGAGAAGGTCAAAGCCTTCTTGACGGCCACTGCCGAAGGCTGCTTGGAATTGAATGCTTCGATATGAGGCCAATGCAGTCAGATGCCCGACGACGGGGTGCTATCGTGACATGCTGAAGAAAACGAAATAGAGCCCCGAGCTCCACTGAGGCTACAAGATGGCTGCGGCCAAGCCGTCTGAGGCAGCTGAAGCGCTCCGCAGCTCTGGCCATGCTTCCCTCACAGATGCTTCGCTTCTCGGCCCGTTACAATACTAGGCAATGCTATACAGGTCCCGCAGATTCCCGCAGTACTTCGATAGGGTAGGAAACACAAAACCCCAAGATGCGCTGGGCCTGTAGATTGTATGCCCAGTCGAAGGCGTTTTTGACGTCGAAGCCGGCAATTTTTTGGTCTGCCGGCTACAATTACTGCCCAGGTTTGTGGAGGCGTCCAGCGCTTACATCGCAAAGGAATTCTTGACTTCTGATGGCCAGTGGGGCGTCATGCAGCCAAAGCGTTGGAGTGACTTCGTGGACTTTCTCTGTGCCTCCGGTATCATTCGCAACAGGGCTGGTGAGCCCATCCCCCGCGACGCCGTGGAGGTGCGGACCTGAGTGTTTGGGAATTACTTTTGTGTGCCTCAGAGCTTTGGATTCCTGCAAGTGATGGAAAGCCGTTGTTACGTCTCAGGCTGAGACACTCTTTACGAACCGCTTCCTGCCTTGATCTGAACAGCCGGGGGGCATCCATCGATCGCATGTACAGAGGGTCTACGGGGCACCGTACAGTTCGATGATGCACACAGCGTTGGAAGCTGTGCACTTTGTTGCAGCTTCTGACTAGCGTGTTGAGCCCCAGGTCCCTATAGTATGCTACCACAGATCTTGGCAATCTGCAGCTCAAGCACCGGCTTGGCTTCATTTTGTGCGGCAAATGTTTGGATTGTTCCTTTCAAATTCTAAGCCATACCAAGGAGCTGGAGGAAAAAAAGACTTGTGGCAGTCTTGCGACGTTCTGTCTGATGCACTTGGTCTCTTTAATTACCAGTCAATCCCGAACGCGCTCTTGCAGCCTAAGGATATTCGACCTCAAGTATTTCATATTCAATATTTGCCGGATTCTGGCAACCAACCCCGGTCCTTTCGCTCTGTTCTGAGACAAATCAAGTATTCCCTACTTTGATTCGCCTATTAACCACACCCTCGCCCCAGGCGAGACAAGATCGATAGATCCCTGGGTACCCGAAAATTGGCGTCAGGGCGAGGTCGGAGGCTGGGTCGTCCTGGATGACATCAACCTGTCCATCGCGGACGATGCTCAGGCAGCGCAGCAGTGGGCTAGAACCCGGGTACTGTAGAGCTTTCTCGTGGCGTCCCTCTGGCTTAAATACAGAAGCAGCTTCCATGGCATAAACACACAGCGCCTTTGTGTTCTTGGTGGACAGTAACAGAAGCGCTTGTAGCAGGGGCTCCCAATAATGTTTGCTACTGTGGGCTTCAGAAGTTGGTAGGAAGGTCGGTCACGAGCCGCGCTCGATTCGTCCTGAAAGGCGAAGAAGGCAGCTGCTAAGCCGACTCCTATGGGTCCGCACCATGCGCCACGCTCAGGTGCTATCTCCTGCCTGCACAATCGTGTATGTCACTACATGTCACAACATATACAGGCACAGGTTCAAACAGCTATGGCCGTTGATATAGAACCTAATGTGCTCTCCTGCTTGACCAGTTCCAGGGGTAGCCTTTTCCAGCTGAAGCATGAAACATGCGTGCAACGGCATGCCATTTGGCTCAGAAGGGTGGCCATAACCTGTTTGTCCACGTGCGGAGACTGAGAAGGCGGGAACAACAGAAGGGTACTGTAGCTGTAGTGTTCAGCAGCAGCCGATGCCTCCAGGAACTTCATCTCAGCTGCCCAGCGTCGCGCGAAGCTGCTGAGCTCAGCAGAATGATGATGTGGGCCCCTGGCTTTCATGTACCCGGTCGCTGGTTTCAAGAAGACTTCGGCAGGGACCAGCCTGGATGGAACATTCGACGCCGGGATGACATTTCATGTGCATTTGTGAGTCCGACGCCATGGATTGAATCCTCATACCTATATGAAATGCTGCCACCGCAACAAGCATTGGCATTCATGAATGGAACAGAGGTGGTGAGAGCTGCAAGGCTCTTGACACGTTTTGCAGAGCTTGGGATTGCCTAAACCTGAAAAATGAAGCTCCTTCTGCCTGGCTTGTGGCAGTCGTTTGCAACCACAGGCTGACATAGCCATTGTTCAAACTGCTAGATCAGCATGGTCCCGAAGTGCTGTCAGCCAGTAACGCGCGTTAGCTCTATGCGTCTTTTGTCCAAGCCTCGTTCCGCTGTTTACTGTCACTAGCTTAGGACCGCATCTGCGACGAGAGCTGCGGGACTGGAAGGCACGAAGTAAAATCTTGTCGAAGGTGCTTTCCCGGCCTTGTGTGAATCATGCAGCTGACATGGTAAGTAAGCATCCAGTCGAGGTTACTTTTGTTTAACGCGGCTTTCTTTTAAATCTAGCTTGCTAATTCTACTTGTATAGCGCATGTGGTGCAAATCTAGCAAATGGCCAGAAACATCCTACTAGGTGGTTGCCCTAAGGCG